TGGTGGTGGTCATGGTGGTGATAGTGGTAGTGGTGGTGGTGGTGATGGTGGTGGTGGTGGTGATGGTGATGGTGGTGGTGGTGGTGATGGTGGTAGTGATAGTGGTGATGGTGGTGATGGTGATGGTGGTAGTCGTGGTGATGGTGATGGTGGTGGTCATGGTGGTGGTGGTGGTCATGGTGGTGGTGGTGGTGGTGGTGACAATAGGAGCTAGTATTTAGTGGGCTGACTGTGTGCCAGATGCCATTCTCAGTGGACATTCACGGAGCTTGGACCAACTGGCTTTGAAGATAACGTAGAAGGTGGGGGGATGGGAACCGGAAGGGAGCACTGCAAACTGACCCACCAGTTCCTGGTTTGGGCAGCTGGCGGTACCATTTTACTGAGAGCAGTAGCCCAAGCAGAGGCGTGAGCAGGCTTGCCTGGGCTCCATGTGGAGGTGGGTGTGAATGAAGAGTCACTCTGGGTTCTCTGTCAAATTCAGCACCTTGGAGGGAAGCAGAGAGAATACGAGTTCATTGGCCTGACTCCTGACACAGAGTTCCTTGGGACCATCGTGATTTTTGTTCCAACCTGGTCCAAAGAGAGTGCCCCCTACATGTGCCGGGTAAAGACGCTGCCAGGTAAGTTCAGCTAACGCCAGAGGGAGATGGTGGTGCTCATGGTGGTGGTGGTGGTGATGTGGTGGTGGTGGTCAGTTCAAGTCTTGATCCTGGGCCAAGGGGAGGCTTGGCAGTGCTCTAAGAAACCACAGAAGGAGGACTAGTGTATTGTCAAAGTCAGTCTTTGTTTATGCACACATCAGTGAGCTGATGGGTTATCACAGCACATGTTTAATTTCCACCTGTCAGCCTCTGTCTGCATTTCCTCTCTGGCAAGCTGTGTGTGTACCCTGGCAAAACAAATTTGCCTTAATATTAACCCAAATGAGATATACAGGGAAATAACCTGCCGAAGGGAGAGCAGAGAAGATGAAAAGATCCTTCAGTACTTTCCAGGTGATGATAGCTGTGAATTTCTTCAGTGCTAACCAGGGACCAGGCACTGGTAAGCACAGTCCTCTTGCACAGCCCGTGAGGCAGGTACTATTACCATCTTTGTTTCACTGAGGAAACCAAGGTTCAGAGTGGTTAAGTCAGTTCCCCAAGATCACACAAGTGGTGAGGAGAAGAACCAAGTCTAATTCTGGAGACCACATCCTCTCCATTGCACTACTATTGAAATAGTTTTGAGTCATCTGCTCAAAATGAGAGGGTGTCTGGGTGCTCCCTCCCTCCAGCACATTGAAACTCAACTCTCCTCATAAGCGACATGATATTTTAATTAGTGTTTCTTTTCATAGAGATAGAAATGTCGTCATGCTCAAAGCTGCAAGCTGAGAGGACGGAAGTGAGGTAGATTGGATGGATTTGGAATAACCATCTCCACCTCAGTCATCATGTTCACAGTAACGATGTCAGTAGGTGATTTCTGCCGCAGTGAACACAGGAGAGGCGGCTGCTAGAGGCTGGGCCCTGGGGCTGAACCGCAGCTTGGCAGAATCATCAAGTTGCTTCTGGCCCTCAGCTTTGTTCAGAAACTTGACTCATCTGTTGCTCCCAGGAGCCCACAAGAGACTGATTTCTCTACCTGCGTCATTCATTTCCAGGGGAAGATGTGCCTGGTGGACCAGCTGGCACTGGCCACTTGCCTGGCTTTGCCCTTCCTGGGGAAAGGGCCACTGCAGAGCCCAGAATAGAACTTGGCAAGAGGGGAACTAGAAAAAGGAAACTGACCCATTCCTGGCCCACGCCTGCCCTGCAGCATGCAGCCACTCCACCCTGGGCCTGCTGTTGGCTTGTCCTTCCACGGTCTAGCTCATGATGTGAGACCATTTTTTTCTAAGACTGTAGCTGCTTTTATTTAAATTACACTTCTTGTGGGCTATTTCTTGCTGACATGAAGAAGGTACTTTATCTTTAAAAACAAAGTATATTAATAATAATTCCTACCACTTATTAAGCACCAAATCTATTGCCAAGCACGGTGTTAAATATTTTATATATATTATCCCATTTAATCTTTATAACAATCCTGTAAATTGGGTAGCATCATCCCCATTTTACAAAGGAAGAACTCTGGCTCAGAGAGGTTAGGTAACTTGTTGGAGACCACACAGCTTGTCAGTGACGTAGTTAGGTTCATCTAATCCCGAAGCCTGGACTCTAACCACCACTCTGCAATTTTATTTACAGCTAGTCCCCTTTATGGCAGATTTATTCCCCTTACTTCAATTTCAGAGTAATATGGTGTGCCCTGGACCCTGTATCCTGGGGCCCATTTATCCTCAGAGCCAAGAATGCCCATTTTATCTGCCTCTCAGGCTGTCTGGGAGGGTCACAGAGCAACATCCAAGAATCTTGATGCTGGAAAGGGCTTTAGGGTTCATCTCATCCAATATCCAATTTTTATAGATGAGGAAACTGAGGCACACTTATGTAGTGGCTGTGAGGATGAGCTTTGGAGTTATACATGTCAATCCTGGCTTCTCCCCTGAGTAACTGTGTGACCTTGGTCAAGTCACTCAGCCTCTCTGACACTCAGTTTCATTATCTGTAAGAAGGGAGCATCCCTGGCCCCTTTGTTTGGGTGGATAACATCGGTAGAGCTTACATGCTTCTCACCAGTCCATCTTGGACTGGTGGCAGGAAGGGTGTCATAACAAGAACTGACCATGTCCATCCCAAAGATGTGCGACCCAGGGAGAAGGCTCAGCAGCAAAGCCCTTAGTCCACTCTCTTTTCTCTTTTAGAAACAGTTGTGTCTCCCCAGCGTCCCTCCAGAGCCAAGGTCTTCCCTGGTACCTCACCCATTACCTCTGTAGGGAGGTTGGGGGACAGGCCCCTGCCTTTGTCGTGTCCCTCTTTCCATCTCTGCTGCACACTCCCTACCAGGAAGGCCAGACTGTCCCCACACCCAGGCAAGAAGGGCCTGCTTTAGGAGGCTCTGCTCCAGCCCTGCTCTGGCTGTGACCCTCCCCACAAGATGAAGAGTCCTTGGGTCCAAGTGGACAGGTCCTCCTGCAGCCTGTGACCTCCCTTCTAGCCCACACTCTGAGTGCCTGCGACCCTGGAGTTCACTGTACAAATGCCTCAATACTGTCTGGTCTAGGCAGATCTTCCTCGCCCCCTTCCTCATGAGGGGAGACAGTCTGCTGATGTGCAGACCCGTGGCCCTAAGGGTGGCCAATAGGCGGCTACTTGTTGGGAGACATGGGTGAGCTTGGCTAAGTGAGCTGGGGAGGCAGAGACCTCACTCTGTCGAACTACATCATGGAACTGGCCATGTGCGTGAGGCCCCCGGCAGTGTGGGAGGCATGGAGGCCTCCCCATTTCAGCACAGTACCCCAAGAAATCCAAGAGTTCAAACTCCAAACTGGGCCTTCTAGGGTGTTATGAAAAGTACATCTGTCAAGGTAAACAGAGAACACTTTCACTTTACAGTATAAAAACATGGTTTATAAATTCTGAATATTTAGGCATTATGATACTCTCTTTGGGCCCAGACCCTGCAAATCTTGAGGGTAGGAGAGGGCAGGGGAGGGAAAGCTCGGGTCTGCAGCATCCACTCTTGGGACTGGCCTCAGACCAGCTCTCAGCCTCACCGTCCTGTTCTGCTTCTTTGCTCACGCAGATCGGACTTGGACCTACTCCTTCTCGGGTGCCTTCCTGTTCTCCATGGGCTTCCTCGTCGCAGGGCTCTGCTTCCTGAGCTACAGATATGTCACCAAGCCGCCTCCCCCTCCCAACTCCCTGGTGAGCAGTTGCACGTGGGGCAGGAGGGCGAGGTCCAGGGGAGGGCCCAGAGCAGCAGAAGGCAAGGCCCAGGGCCCCCCGGCTCTCCCTCAAGGGCAGGGATCAGCAAAATTAGGCCTCGTTTCTCCCCTCCAACCTCAAGTCACCAAAGTCATGGCCGGCAGGGTGTATTGAAGAGGGGAAGGTGATCAGAAATGGTGGACTTGAGATGAAAAACCCACATGAATCCCAAGCATCCATATCCAGGCAGGTAACACAGGACCCAAGAGAGCAGGCCCCGCAAGGGACCGAGAAGGGGTGCTCGCGCCCTGTCCAAGTGGCAGCCAAGCACTGCTCCCTGGGAACGCAGGCCCACTGCTGTCAGACCTTCACATTTTTTTCAGGAGAAGTCAGAATTTCAGATTATAGTGGGAAATCCCAATTTTCAAATGTTGGCAACTAATTTTTAAAACGCAGAGCCCTATGTAAACCACACAAGTCCCGTGGGCAGCCCCACTGTGGCCAGAACTGTGTCTCTGCTCAGAGGCCTGAGCCGAGCTGTGCGGGGCTCCGGGAACCAGCTCCCACCCACGGAGCGACAGAGGAGCTCGAGGCCACTTTGCTCAAAGCCAAAGCCCGCATGGGCCATGTCCTGCACAGCTCCGGCCTCCCTTCAGCCCCATCCTTCCCACCTCCCTGCCCACATCAGGGACCCCGAGGAGCAGCAGTGTGGGCCACCTCACTGAGAGTGCACCTCAAGGCAACCCCAAATCTGGGTCACCAGCTTCCTGGTTTACTCCCTCCTAGAGAAACCACAGCCTCCCTGAGACAACCCAGACTTTAGACGTGGCCCCTCGATGTCCCTTAGCAAAGGCCTCAGCATCGACAGGCCTCTCTGGGAGGGGAAGGGGGTGTGCCACTTATGTATCTTGAGAAAGCCCCTAATGACCCCCCCATGCCCTCCTGTGGAGGACCCCACACACACACACTCTCAGGGAGTTTAGAATGCACCCTAATAGGCATAACGTTGTCCCTGCACAGAATGTCCAGCGCGTACTGACCTTCCAGCCTCTGCGGTTCATCCGGGAGCACATCCTGATCCCTGTCTTTGACCCGAGCGGCCCCGGCAGCCTGGCCCCGCCCATCCAGTACTCCCAAGTCAAGGTCTCCGGGCCCAGGGAGCCCTCAGAAGCCCCACCACGGCACAGCCGGTCTGAGGTCACCTACCTTGGGCAGCCGGACATCTCCATCCTCCAGCCCTCCAGCGTACTGCCTCCCCAGACACTGTCCCCACTGTCCTATGCTCCCCAGGCTGTCCCTGAGGTCAAGCCCCCATCGTATGCACCGCAGGTCACCCCGGAAGCCGCACCCCCAGTCTATAGTCCACAGGCCATCTCTGAGGTCCAGCCTCCTTCCTATACCCCTCAGGTCACTCCAGATAGCTGGCCTCTTTCCTATGGGATGTGCATGGAAGGATCTAGCAAAAACTCCCCACCTGTGGCCCTCTCTAGTCCCAAACACCTCAGGCCTAAAGCTGAGCTCCAGAAAGAGACACCGGCTGGAAACTACATCCCAGGCGGCCTTTCCCTGCAGGGGGTGATCTCCTTGGATCTGGAGGAGCCAGGAGAAGCAAAATCCTTCCACCAGCCTCTGGGGGTTCACATGGACAGAGGGGAGCCAGGGACACCAGGTTGCCTAAAGGGCCAGCTGCCCCTCCTCTCCTCTGTCCAGATCGAGGGCCAGCCCATGTCTCTCCCTCTGCACACTCCTTCTCTCCCGTGTTCCGCGGCTGACCAGGGGCCAAGTCCCTGGGGCCTGCTGGAGTCCCTCGTGTGTCCCGGTGATGAGGGTCCCATGCCTGAGGCTGAGGCTCAGAGGCCAGGCCCTCGGCCCTCTGACCTGGAGCAGCCCCCAGAGCTGGACTCCCTGTTCAGAGGCCTGGCCCTGACGGTGCACTGGGAGCCCTGAGCGGAGAACAGGGCAGGTCTTCCTTCCTGTCCCTGCCCCTACCTCACATCCCCGGCCACTCCCACTCCTGCCCGCGCTGCGGCCTCTGCAGCCCAGTGTCCGGTGGGTGCCCTGGAGAGATCCAGGGGGAGGGGACGCAGGGCCCCTGCCACAGGTAAGCTCCCGCCGAAGCAAAGAAGCACGACGAGGACTCCGGCCAGAGGAGTTACAGGCGTGTGCCACCTGCGTGCGGAGCTCTGCGGGGCCTGTCTGGTGGCTAGTGTGTAAGGAGTAGGTGCAGGGAGACTTCCTGGGGCCCCAGGGCCCCCAGCTCCTGAACCACTGGCTGCAAAGTTTTTCAGAGCCTACCTCTCTTCACCTCACTCCTGACCAGTTCCATGACGTAGTTCGACAGAGTGAGGTCTCTGCCTCCTCTGTGACTCCCCCAAAATGAGGACAGGAGTCAGGAAAAGGGCACCTCATAGCAGACGGGGCAGAACCAGAGAAACTGTGTGTCTGCCAAGCCAGAGGTCATGAGCTGGGGAGACGCCTTCCCCACCAGCACTGCTGCTGAAACTGCACCACTCCAGCTTGGCTCCGACGGGACAGAGTGCAGGCCCACCGGGGACGGAGGACGCACACGGCTTTTCTGTCCCTATCCTGAGAGCAAGGTTTGAAAGGAACATGGGACCATGGAGACATGGGGCCCTTGAAGGAGACGCAACAAGAAGCTGTACTTACTTCACAACTTTGGAAAGTCAGGCCTTGGGTTCAGCCCATCTGGGTCCAAATTCCAGCCTCGCCATTTACCAGCTGCATGACTTCAAGCACACTTGAATCACTGTTTCCTCATCTGTAGAATGGGAATAATACCTATCTCACCAGACTATGGTGAGGATGAAATTAAATAATGTCTGTAAAGTGCTTGATGGTACCTGATACATGGGCAGTGCCCAATAAATGGTAGCTGTGTCCTTTTGTGATTTGTTTGTCCTTGGGTAGCACAGGAGACCCCTGCCCCAGTGCAGGTTGGCTTCAGACTGGGCATTTTCTCCGGAGGCTCCAAGTATCCTGATTTCCTCAGGATTGCTCCAGGCCGGGCTGGGCTGTCTGGGGGAGGTGGGGGTATACAGGGCCTTCTAGAAACAGGGTCCAAAGGCAAATGGAGCCTTCTCCCTGGGGTTGGAGGTGCAAGCTGCTTTGGCGGGGGGTGGGGGTGTTCTTGGAGGACCTCCTCCTCGTAGAGGCCCCAGGCCTGCCTCCCCGACACCCCACCAGAGACAGCGCAGTGGTCCCCTGACCTCCTACCCCCGCACCTGCTCCTGTGTAAGCAAAGGGCCCCTTGCTCTGTGCTTTCTGAATGCTCGGCATCCTTTGTATCACGTGCAACGCAGACAACCCCTACCATGAAGAAACGGAGGCCCAGAGAGGAGAAGGGACTCTCCCAAGGGCCCCCACTGAGGCCGGGACACAGTTGGAGCTCAAGCCTAGAGCTTTTCATCCTCATAAGAGAAGAACTTCCCACACAGGTTTGGATTCTTGTAGTATGAGCCTAATGGGACATAAGGAGGGGAGGGCCCCAATGGGGTCTTTGGAGGGCAAATGCTCCCTGTCACCTTCCCATCCCAAAGTCCTTTGTGAACATTTCTGAGAAACAGGATCAAAGTCCGGTTGTGACCCTTCACCAGTGTACAGTGTGCTCCTTTCCCTGTACCCAGTATGTCTCCCCTCCTCTCTGTACATCTCCCCTCCCGGTGACACAGCACCTGGTGGTGGTGTTCTTATCTGCGCATAATTAATATTTAACATCTCTTCAGGGTCACTGGCCTAGACCCAATATCTCCATAACAGAGGGGTGGGCCACCCTCCTGAGCACCCCTAGCCCATTCTCTCAGCAGCAGCTCCCCCTCCCGCCTCACTGCAAACAAATCTGCTTCCCGTCACTTGGGGCAAACTTGGCCAAAGGTTGACTGTCTTCACCTTATTCAGTAATGAAAAACAACTTAACAGCTGGACTGTTCTCACCAAGAAAGTGGGACAGGAACTCACAGTTTTTATTAAAAGCCATAAACATTTCCTCAAGCTCATAGGAGCCACAGAACTCTCTAAGCAACTTGGGGTGACAGACAGATGTCCCAACTCCTCCTTAACTCTTTGGGGGTGGAATCTGAGTGCCTGAAGAGAGGGAAAAAGCTCTGAGTCCTATAACCCTCATCAGGCTGGCCCTGTCCCCACTGAGGGGCGGGCACCAGGCCGCTGGGTCCCTGAGATCTCTGGTCTCCTGAGCAGGCAGCCCAGGCCTGCCGATAGCGCTGGAACCAGCTAGAGGGCAGTGTCTGAGACCCTGGGAGCTGGGTCAAGGCCTTGGTGTCCCAGTGTTTTTAGGCCCGGACCCTATTAGCAGGAATCCCCACAGCCCCGCCCCACCCAGCCCAGAGAAAGGTGAGTCTGTGAGCTGTCACCTGCCCCTGAGGCCCAGCAGAGCCCAGCCCAGGAGTGAACAAGCAGTTGCGGTGGCGGGACGGGGGTAGGAACGGAGCCCTGCCGCCCGGCAGTCCACTTCCTTGATGGTGCATCCTCCCGCTAACCTTCCTGACAATTTGCATTACTGATACTTTGCAAAGGAGGAAAATGTGGCTCAGAGTGGTACTTGCCCAACTTGGTTTCCTAACTTGCCTTATCGTGAAAATCCCCTGGGGAGTTTACGGAAATTCCTGCTTCCCCAGCCCCACCCCAGGCCTGCTAAATCCAGGCTCCTGGGGAATCTGTGTCTTTAATCAACACCTTCGATGGGTCGCGGGCAAGCAGAGGGAACACTAACACCAGCCGTTTCCTGATCCATAGCCCCAAATAACCTCCCGAAAGGCCCCCCCTGTTATGCCCCCTGGGTGGAAAGTGAGGGCAAGGCTACTTGGGTGGCACTTCAGCATGTGGAGCCTGCAGACCCCTGGCCTCCCGAGCCCCAGCCCCAACAACATACTGAGGTTGCCTGAGTTTCCACCCGAGAATAGGGCCGATGGGTCTGGAGCGGATCCCTCTGGTCCCCTGGCCAGTCTGAGGGCCAGCCTGAATAAGGAAGCCATGGCCAGATATCACCACCAGTCTTGTCCCCTGTCGCTCTCCCCACCCCACCTTCCGGAAAGTGGGATAGAAACAATCAGCTGACGCAGAACTGGCCCCTGCCTTTTCTGCTGGTGCTGGTGGGCACAGTTCTGAGTCCCAGCCCCCTGCCCAGCCCCTGGGCTGCTTGAGGCCATTTTAGTTTCCCACTTTATGGAACAAGAGGCATAGTAAGACACATTTTGGCTTGTAAGTATGAGAAGAACAGTCATTGGAATTAAGGAACGGAGAGAGTGACAGAGGAAGGGAAGACAGAGGCAGGAGAAAGAAGGTAGCGAGAGAAAGCACCGGGCAAGACAGTGCTTCACTTAACCACCAGGTGGCGTCACTATCCCAAAAATGTGTTACTGTCTGGAAAATGATAGGGAGCTTCAGGGTGTTGGTAAGTGAAACACGATCCAAAGGTCTGTCCTTAACGTTCATCTGTTCAGGAAAGGCAATGAAAGGGGAAAGAAGAGAAGGAAAGGGAAGAAAGGAGGAAATATTTTGAGGAATACTAGTCATAAACCAGGTATTATACCAGGCAGTTTATACATTTTAAGTTCGTTTGAAACTCACGACCATTGTGCAAGAAGGGTAGTCATTCATTCACTCATTCATTTTTTAAAGAAGCACATATTCAGGGCCTAGCTGTATGCCAGTAATTCTGAGAGCTGGAAATACAATGAATAAGACAAGCAGGCAAGTTCTCTATAGTCAGAGCTTATCTCCAATTTGCAGATAAAGAAACTAAGGCCCAAAAAGGAAGCCAAGATATCCCCATTAGAGAGAGTTCAGGTACCAGAGGTCGGGATTTAAACCAAGGTTTGTATAACTCCAAGTCTAACTTCTGTTCTTCCTCATGACCTGAGGGCTGGCTGTGTTCACCTTAAGGCTCATCAGAACCTCCCTGAGGGGAGGTCCCCGCAAGGAGTGAGGGCATCGCAGGGTGTGGTCAGCAAAGGAGCCCGTGGGAATCCCACACCCAGAAGGAGGGTGAGAGAAAGCTCTCGGCATTCCTGGAGTGTTGGTGTTACCGGCGGAGCTCTCATTTAGCACCTCTGGTGGGGTCCACGTCTACTGGCTGCCGGGCACTGGTGAGTCCATGTCTTCTGGGTGCTGGGCACCGTACTGCAGGCTTCCCATTTCCCAAGTGAACCTTCTCAGTCAGACTGCAGTCTTTTCAATCAGCAGCCCCTCTGTACAGATAATAAAACTAGAATGGTGAAGTGCCCTACCCAGGGTCATACAGCTAGTAAACGGCGCCCCCACCAGGCTGCCTTGGGGATTACAGGACCAGTGTGAATGTCTGTCTCCCGGATTGGAAGCCCACTTACCACGGCTGTATGTAGGGATTCACACTAACCCCTCACAGAGAATGTGTAAATGTGGGTCTTGGAGAGCCTTTCTGAGGTTGGCTCAGTACAAGATGGGAGAGAGCCACAAAGTGTTCTCCCCTGAAAGATGCTCTCAACATGGCAGCCAGGGAGGAGGGGAGAGAAACAGGAGTGCTTAGAGAGGGGTTTTCAAATAGGGCAGGAGATTAAGATTTTGGATGAGGAGCTCACTTGTTCTCTCTCTCTCCTCTCTCTCTCTCTCTCTCTCTCTCTCTCTCTCTCTCTCTCTCTCTCCAGAGAGTAGTTCCTGAGACATAAGGAAGGTGACAGGCACAATGTTACTGGCCTCCTGGGGCCCCAGGAGGAGGCCAGGGAGGGAAGCCGTGCTATATGGACTGGAGCGGCACCCCCTTCCCCAATCCTCTGCTGAGACCTGGCTCAGGTGTACTTCCTCATCACCCCCTGTGGTAACTGCCTGTCTCCCAGCTAGATCAGGACTTCTTCTGTGTCACGGGAATTATTTTATCCCTTCTGCACCCTCAGTGCCCACCAGGCCTGGCAAAGTGTAGGTGTGAGTGAATGTGAGGAAAAGGACTGGAACAGGGTAGAGGGGTGTGGCAAAGCCTGGGAAGAAGGATTCCCCAAGGGCCACTCCGGAAGCCTGAAAAATCCGTACAGTGGAGGAAGAGATGGCTTTCCCCCACACCCCCCACACCCACAGTGATCGTGGCCAGGCAGGGCTGGGTCAGCAGCTACTAGGGTGGTAAAGAGATGAGAAATAACCTACTTCCCTTGTAGTCAGTGATAACTTATGAGCACTGAAGACTTGTTTTTAGGTCACATTCCTCCATCCTCTTCATAGAGTCTGGGTGTCCATTCTCACTGCTTCCATCTTTCAGAAGGGGTATCGGATCACGGAAGCTGGATCTTCCCCAAGGTACAGTCAGAACAGCCACCCCTTCCTTATATGCTTTCCATGCAACCAGGCCTGAGCTGTTACCCTCTTTCCACTTTAGTGGGTGAGGGGGCAGAGTTGGGCAGAAGAATTCAAGCACAGGGGAGGAGGATCTGCGGGAAGCCTGGTGGGGGTGGGGACGGCCGCACCTGTCGCTGCGCCTGGGCAGTGCTGGACCGAGGAGAAAGGCCCCTCCCCCAGAGCTCCCGAGCAGTCATCACACTTTCTCAGTGCTGCTATATTTAAGGCCTGTGCAGGCTCCAGCACAGCATTCTTGTCCCTGTCCCTGCTGAGTCCGGGGCAAGCAGAGAGCAGGGACCCTCTCGTCCTCTGGAATCTTCTCCCCAGAGACACCTACGTGGGCATGGCTGCTTCTGTGAGTGACCTCCAGGCATCAGGGGTGTGGAGGGACAGCTCCAGGGAGTGAGACCCTCAGCTTTTTCACTGGGAAGTGGGGTGTGCGTGTTGGGAAAGGAGCCTGAGAGATTTGGAGAGAGCATCACAAGTGGGAACGGTCGGGGGGCGGGGGTCCCTAGCAATCCCTACCCCATCTCACTGTTCCTGTGTGGCCCGGGGTCTTCTGAGCTAAGCCCTCCGTGACATAAAAATGCAAAAGGCATTTGGGGATGCCCTGGGGAGGGGAGGCTCCCCTGCAATGGAGCGGGTAAGCTGGCAGGTCCAGCAAACGGGGACTGTGCTGGAGCCCTGCTTGGCCAACGCAATGGGAAGACTAAATCGTCAGGACCCAGATCATCCAGCCTGGGTTCAGGGCCGGAACCTGAGGCCCAGCCAGGGAAGGAGCGGCCTCAGCTCCTGGGTGGCAGGGTCAGAATTCTGGAAGCTGGTGGAGCACTGAGAGCTGGTCCCAGCCTGCGTGGTCACACTCCACCGGCTGCGTGTCTGCTCCCACCCACAGGCCCCAGCTTTCTGCCCTCAGGGCTCTGCCGGTCACTCGGCCTCTGGGTGCTTGTCTTTCCCTCTGGAGGAAGGGAACAGGCCACCTCGCTCGGCTGTCAGAGGGCTGGGTGGGGAGGCAGGCTGAGGCTTGGGAGGACAGGGGAGGCGAGTCAGGAAGTCCACGAGGCAAGAGATCTGGTCCCAGGCTTTGCACCCCAAGGAGAGGGAAACGGGGCAGTTTCCCCTCCTGGCCCACACCCCACTGACCCCTCCTCTTGGAGGCACACAGGGCTTCTGGAAAGCAAGCAGGGGAGGCTGCACCCTCATTGCTGCTTAATCCTGAGCCTCAGTCAGGGCTCTAAAAAGACTCAATGGCTCATCTGCTGAGACCTGGGGTCTGATTGCGGGAGGCCCAGCAGGTCAGGGATGTGTGCCAGGCCTGGCCCGCTGTGCCAATCAAGAACAGAGCATCCAGGGAATGGTGCCAGCAGCTGGTGCCAGGGATCGTTAACCCTCAGCTCCTGGAGCCAGCGCCACGGTACCCCAGGAGAGCTGGAGGGCCTGCCCTGTCTTGGGGGTACCCAGCAGGTTCTCCTCTTGCGCTGTGAGGAGGAAGGAGCAGAAAGAGCAGGCTAGCCATCCTCTGGGTGCGGGAAGAGCCTCTTCCTTGGGTGGGGCAGATGGGAAGCCCAAGGCACGGCTGTCCCTTTGCGTTCAGCTGAGGTCATGCACGGGGGGCTAAGGAGGCTTCAGGGGCAGCCCTTGGTCCCAGCTGACACTTGACAGTAATTGTCTCTCTTGGGTGTCACTTGTGGACACCCAAAGGGAACAAACTTTGGGAACTAGAAGGAGTAAATGCCACTAGGATTGACCGTTGGCAGCCTGAGCCCACTGACACCCCCAACAGGCTCTTCTCGACCAAGGATCTCTGACGAGGCCAGGGGGCCACCTCCCACGTCATGGATGTAGAAAAATGGTCACCCACGTGCCATGTTCACACCCAGGTGCAGGGTCAGAACACACCCTGCACCCCCACATGCACACACACACACACACACTCTCTCTGCCACCAACAGGCCGCTCAGCAGAGGCAGGGGCCAGGGCAGAGCTGGACCTCGAGAAGCAGACAGGATGGAGCTGTGGTGGTCTCCCCTTCTGCTTCATTCTTCTTGCTCAAAGTCTACATCAGGTCCAAGCCCAGCAGCGACCCTCCCAGCCCAGGGCCTGCCTGCCAGAATTCCTACTGTAGGAAGTGGAAAGCCATTCCAGGATCAGGAAAGCTATTCTAGGACCAAGTATCCCAGAGCTTCAGCATCAGACGGCTCTCGGGGACCTGCCGACACCGAGGCCCAGATTTGCGGAAGAACTTAATGCAAGAATGCAAAGCCAGCTAGCTCGCGGGCTTCCCGTTCTCCTTGCCTGCCTCTCCATATCCTGCCTGATCCCTGCCTCCTCCAGACAAGTTCAGTCCAGTCCTACCTGAGGGCCCAGACCTGAGCCTCAGGAATACAAAGGAAGATCCCTCCATTGTGATCCCCTTATGAGAAGGGAGGCCACTGCATCCCCAGCTCTCAAGTAGATGTGTGACAACATAGAAGAAGGCCAGCCAGTCATGGCCTCACCACCAACCCTCTGGGTGACCTTGGCCAAGCACTTGCCATCCTCATCAGTAAAATGGGATGCCAACAGTGTGTGTCATAAGGTTATTGAAGGAACTGGAGATAATGCATTTGAAAACGAACAAGCATCACACAGTAACCATTCACTGTTGTTACTTGTAATTCACTTACATCTTGCTGAAGAGTAAAGATGTACAGATATGAATTAATTAAATAGTTAAAGGCAGCATTTTCTGAATCAGAGTTAAGTTGTGGAGTGCAAATAGAAAGCACAAAAGGGACAAACAGAGGGAAAATTCTAGGTGGCCTGTAGGTTTTCAGCAGGGCTTCTTAGAAAACTAATGTTAATGTCTAACGCTTACGTAGTGTTACGTGTTACTATTTTAACTCTGTGCGCCGGGCACCCATCTAACCTTTACAGCCACCCTCGGAGGTCAGTAGACTCATTGTACAGATAAGGACAGACACCAAGTCATAGAGTCTTGCCTGAGGCCACACACTTATAAGCTGGAAGGAGAAACTGGGATCACACTCACAGGGGCTGGCCCCAGAGTCTCTGTGCCCAGCCATTGTGCCAACTTAAGCACCTCAGGCTGGATTGTGAAGTAGGAGTGGGGTTAAGCTGGCCAGGAGGACAGGAAGGGTTCTCCAGATGAGAAACCCAGCGCAGGCAGAGGACTGAGTGTGGCATATGCAGAATGAGTGAGGCCGCCTGCCCATCTTGAGCCATCGACAGCCCTTGGACAGCACAGTGTTCGATTACTCATCATCTGGGAAGCCAAGATCCAGAGGAGGGAAGGCCTTGCCCCAGGTTGTGGAGCCAGGCAAAGGCCGGGCATGGCTAGAAGTGAGGGGCTGCTCCCCGATGCGGGGCTCTGCTCACTCAGCCAGAGAGCGCACGGGGTAGTGGGCAAGCCTGCCTCTGTCACCTTGGCAGGTCCCTCTCCCTCTCCGGCCTCCACTCCCCGCGTACCCCGCAAACCTCCCAGAGCGGCCGGGAAGGGGTGGGAAGATGCCAGGGGCGGTGACCATGCCCCTTGGCTTGGCAGGTCGTTGCTCTCACAGCCATGACTCTACCACACAACCCAGGACATGTGGGGGAGCCCCGGCCCCCCCAGGCCATGGAGGTCCACAGGCTGGAGCACCGCCAGGAGGAGGAGCAGAAGGAGGAGAGGCAGCACAGCCTGCACATGGGCTCCTCGGTGCACAGGCGGACCTTCCACAGCAGGTGGGATCATCAGGTGCCCCTGCCGCGGGCGCGGCCCGCCCACAGCGTTCCCAGTCAGAGGAGGAGGAGGAACGCCCAGCCCTGTTCCCCAGAGACTCCTCTCCTAGGAGGCAGGCAGGAACAGCTTCTGTTTCTGGAGATCCCAGTCTGGGGCGGGAGGCACCACCTTGCCACTGGTGTCCCAGGACTGAGATGGTACATGCAGCCCTAACCTCAGGGGGCCCCCTGCCAGATCCCCAGCCAGTCCTGTAGGAGCCGCTAACCCCCATTTCCCTGGACAGCGAGGAAGAATACCAGTTCACTGCTGTGGACTACGCCCTCGCAGCAGCCCTGGCGCTGACGGCCTCCTCGGAGACATCTTGGTAAGTCAGGTGACCTTTCCAGAGAGCCCTGGGCTGAGCAGGGGCATCCTGCCCAGGCCACTGCCTACTGCCCAGGCTTCCACACTGAGCTTAAAGAACCTGCCTGAAGTTACACATGTAGAATACAGGACTCCACTGGGGTTTAAGCCCAGGGCTGTGTCACCACACCACCCTCTGGATGGGCCCATCCCCCAGAGAGTGGGCGGGGGTCTGCACGTCACCACCGCTGAGCAGGGTAGGGGGGGTGACTGGGGAGAGGGGGAGCAAGTGAGCAGCCCCAGTTCAGACGAGGGTCCTGAGCTGGGAAGGCCTGTGGATGTGACAGCATCCCCGGCTGCTTCCACACCCTGGGCCTCCAGGGTTACATGGTGTGCCTTCCTTACAGCCCAGCGCCTCCCTCCTAGGGCCCCACTTCCCCCCCAACAAGTTCTCACCACCCCACAGAGCCCGAAGCCAGGCCCCAAGCCTCAGGCCCCTGCCCAGCAAAGTGGGGAGACTAATGCCTGTCTGCTTCGTTGTCAGGGAAACCAGAGGAACAAAGGTTTGTGAAAGAGCTTTGTGAACCACATCGGTAGCATTTATTATGCACCTACTGTAAGCAGGGCACATTCAGAGTATCTCAGAGGAAAAAAAATGGAAAGCTGCTCTTGTTCTCAAGAAGCTTAGAGAGCAGCTGGCAATGCTGAGCATGCAGACAGCAAGGGCTGGGCTGCCCCCACCAACCCTGGGCTCTCAGCCCCTGATGGCTCTGTCACCTCAGGGAGGCCCAACTCAGGCACCAGACTACCTCCGTGGAGCTGGAGGAGCGAGGGCAGAAGCGGGTGGGCTTCGGCAACGACTGGGAGAGGACGGAGATTGCCTTCCTGCGGACCCAGTGGCTGCTGCGCCAGAGATGCAACCGGAAGGCGCTAAGACGGCGGGTGAGGGATGGGCGGGGGGCCCTGGGACCTGGCACCTGGGGCCCATCACATGCTGCCCACTTCACCCTGCCCCCTCTAGGGTCCAGGCCCTGGACTTCCTCTGGGTTTAAATCCAGTGCCCCCACCCTCTAGCTGTGTGACCGTGGGCAAGCAGTTCGTTATTCTTGGCTAGTCTATAAAATAGATGCGTGTGATTGTACCAGCTTGAGGTGGGATTAAACGAGATGGGCTGGTCAAGTGGCTTTCCCAGCACCCAGGACAGAAGACCATCTGGAAATGCTATTCCTGACAAACGTCAGGGATCTGAAGCCCCATCCAGACCCCCTCCCCAGGGCAGTGAGCAAAGCTAATACTTACTTACAAGGGCTCTTTCAGTGCCCAGCTTTTCACATATGAACTCATTTAAGCCCCTCTGCAACCCCACAGGAGGGAGGGAGAATATTGCTATCATCCCCATTTCATAGAAATGCAGGACTTGCCTGTGGTCACACACCTAGCAAGTGGCAGAGTTTGGCTGTGACCCCAGGCCAGCTGGTTTCAAACCCCTGCCCTGTCCGCTGTGCCACATTGCCCCTCAGCTGCTGGTAAAGGGGGCTCCTGCACACGTGGGTCTGACTCCAGAGCCTGGGTGTGGTGGGGAAAGGTGGCAGCAAAGGTGTGGGAAATGCAAGCCCCTGGCTATCAGAGTCATGGACCCCCGCCCGCCTGCAGGCAGAAGAGAAGGTCCGGGAGGCCAAGGAGCTGAGAGAGCTGTGCTCCGGCCGGGGGCCCTGGTTCTGGATCCCACTGCGCTCCCACGCCGTCTGGGAGCACGCCACAGTCCTGCTGACCTGTACTGTCCAGGCCTCACCCCCACCCCAGGTCACCTGGTAAGCCACTGCGTCCCCACCCTGCTTCCACGCCCTGGGCCTCCAGGGCTACGCGAGTGTGCCTTCCTTACAGCCCAGTGCCTGCCTCCTAGGGCCCCACTTCCCCCACAAGAAGTTCCTGCCACCCCACAGACCCTGAGCTCTGCCCACCCCCTGCAGAGCAGCAGCTGCTGGGAGGCTCAGGCAGGGTTATTCTTAGCCTCCTCCCAGCCAGCCTAGGGCTGGAAGATGGGGCCACCAGTGAGCCAGCACTTGTAAACATGATTCTGGTGGCATGAGAAAGCATCTGGGTGTGTCTGGGGGCTGGAGGGACAGTAGGGGTCAGGGGAGCAGAAGAGGCGATGGGAAGGGCCCTCCAGCGAGAAGGAGCTCAGGACTGGAGTGGGAGCCCCATGTTCCAGACTTAGCTCTCTGTCTCTCTGCTAACTCTGAATGTGGTCTTAGCCATGTCTCTTAACCTCTCTGGTCCTGCCTCAGTTTCCTCTTCTGTAAAATGGGTTGGAGACCTTCTGTCCAGCTTCCATGTGGTAAGGATTTAATGCCATGACAACATGGAAGCCCTCAGAACTCGGAAGGGGCTGGGAAAGCAGGAGACACCATTCCTGGGAGTGTAACCATAGCAGAACCACAGATCTAGGCCTTGCTGGCAGAGGGGACGGGAGGTGGCAGGGGCAGGTGTCTCCTGAATGGGTGTGGTGGATAGAAGTGGGCACGGCGGTGTCCCAGCTTGCAGCGCTACCAAGGGAGGCTTGTCATCCAAGCACCTGAGCCCGCTGTTTACTCAGTTACTCCTGGGCCTTAGGCCCATCGTCAGGTGCACTGGGGGATGAGGAATATTCAACAGATATTTTCCAGGAGTGTCATCTGCCCCAGGCCTTCACTTAGGCAATGAGACATAGATATAAGCCAGACATGATCTCCCCTCAAGGAACATTGAGCCCAGAAGAAGAACATCAACCCACAGAGAGAAGTATCTTCATGGGTAATACTTGAGATAAAAGAGTGGGAAAGAAGAGGAGGAAGTAGTTGCCTCTACCTGGAGGATCCAGGAAAGCTTCTCAGAGGAGGTGACATAAAAGCCAGGTCTTGAGGGTAAACAGACTGCAGTGTCCTAGGAGAGAAGATAAGCACACAAACAACTGAGATCACAAAGGAAAAAGCAGCATTGCACACTTGGACCCACTTTATACTGACCCAGCCCTTTCCTCTCATTTGAGCCTTGGGGCCAATCATGGGGTACAGACAATCATCCTCATTTCTCAAGTGAGGATATGAAGGCTCAGAGAGGTAGTGTGACTTGTCTAAGGTCACACAGCTAGTGTGAGCCAGGATTCAAATTTAGTTTCTTCCCTCCCCACCTGTAGCTTCTACTACTAGTCTAGAGAGAAGGAAAGTGATCGTTGCAGTTGGTTTTTCTATGAAACATACATAATGCTTCAGAAGTCAGAGAAACGAAAGCTCTTAGGCCAGGAGCAATCAAGAAAGGCATCTTGAGGAAGGTGGCATTGGGGCTGGTCATTGCCAGACGGCATCCATTCAGGCAAGCGTGCCAGTACCGTGCTTGGCGCTGGAAGTCGTGGAGACCAAGGCAGTCCCTGCCTGCAAGGTGCTGGTCCGGCTGGAGGACTGCTCCCACCGGCCAGCCTGTGCTGAGTAGGGGTCAGGCCCTCAGCTGGCCTGGCCTAGCGGCCCTGCCCTGCCCTACCCTGCCTGGGCACTGAGGCCCACATCCACGGCATTCTGTGGGGCACTCTCGGAGGGGGACTCATTTTCACCCCTCCCAACAAGGTCGCTACAACAGGGAGCTGAGCATTCCTTGCAAATGGTGGAAACCAAGGCCAGGCCCACCTCCAGTGGGGGGGACCTCAGGGGGCCCCCAGTGCTCCTGGCTTTGGGGATCTGGTTTTCCATCATCTGTTGCCTTGGGCGGGGCCATACGTTGTCCTGGGACTGGTCTCCAGAGCTCTGTCCAGGCCCTGGTGGAGACCCAGCCTGCAGGTCAAGAGGAAGATCCTGGCTCCCCAGGCTTGTCAGGCGAGCACGTTCATGCAGCACTTCCTGAGCACTTCCTGAATGCAGGGGCGACACCAGGGCACGTTCAGGCAAGGCCCGGTCTGACCATGGTTATGCTGCAGAAGTGGGCCCTGGCCACGATTCCATCTGACGTCAGAATCAGTCTCCCAAGCCAAATAACCTTAGAGCAAAATCCAACACAAAAATGTGTGAGGGAAACAATTTACATAAATAACAAAAATCTCACTTTTCTATGAGAGCCCCTCTGAGCCACACTCTGGGCTGGAAGCCCCCTTGGCTGGCTCATGTGATGCTGTTCTGCGATGGGCTCTGCCTGGGATCCTCTGCCAGCCTGTGCCTCCAGGGCCTGCTGTACAGGCGGGGCACTGAAGCCCAGAGAAAGGGCAAGCGGAGTCTGAGGTCTGGTAAGGCAGAAGCTGGCCAGGAAGAGGTGTCTGGAATGTTCCTGACAGGTTGAGGTGGGGGGGACCTGACCTTGGCCCCCAGGCCTGGGAGAGTTGGAACCACTGGGCACCCGGATTAAGTGCCACCCTCCCCACAGGAGATCTAATTGAGCTCCTTTCAGAAGAGGGTGCAGCCAGGGGGCTGTGTGGTGGAAAGTGGGCACGGCTCTGTTTGGTTGCCATGGAGACAAACAAGGGTGTTGGGGAGCCAGGGCCAAGGAAGGGAATGCACTGAGGCTGGGGTGCCCTCTCACGGTCGAGGCCTCCTCTTCAACCTCAACTACCACTGGGGCAAACTGTCCATGGACACAGAGGCCCAGAGAGGGAGACTGACTTGGCCAAGGTCACGCAGCAGGCTGTGTCAAGAACTGAGGCCTCCTAACTTTAACAGACCCCTTAGGCCTTCAGACTTCCCTGATGGGCTGTGGACAGAGGCAGGCCACATCACTCTAGTGCTCGTGGCAGGGAGAATAAGACCCCAGAGTTCACCAAAAACAAACAGCAGTATCCAAGGTGCAGTGGGTGGGGCGACCCGCTGGGCCACCCTTGGGAATCACCCAGGAAGCTTTAAAAAAATACTGATTCTCAGGTCTTGTTCCCAGAAATTCCAGTTTCATTGATCTGGGATGCAGCCTAGGCAAGGAAATTTTTTTAGTGGCTTAAATTAAATCATTTATTTTTCTTTCATGTAAGTGCCTGATGTGACAGGGTGGCCCTGTTATAGCAACTGTACTCAGATTCCTCAGGGACTCAGGAATATTCTCCCTCACTGGAGGGCACAACCCTGGTCTTCCTGGTGCTGGAAGGCAGTCGTCAGGGCCATATCCGTGCTGCAGGATGGAGGGAAAGATGGCCCAGAAAAGGAGCAGAGTGTCATTGATGCAGCCGCATGGTACTTGTACTTATTTCTATTCACAAGATTTAGTCACATGGCCACACCTAGCAGAGAGGCTAGGAAATATGATACATATTGGATAGCTCAGCAATACATTCTGTTCCTTTAGAATAAGAGAAAGGCCATTGGGAAGCAATGAACAGTTCCTGGTGCAAATTCCCAAAGGCTTATGTTCAGAACCCAGGCGTGAAGATTTTTAAAGCCTCTCCAGGGATTCTGAGGAAAGCCGAGATGAAGAACTGCTGTCCTGAGGTGTTGGCAAGGGAAATAGGAACGGGGACACCCTCCTTGGCAACCCTGCTCAGAGAGGAGGGAAAAGCTGGGGTTGGGTCCCTGGTGGTAGCCCAGGTGTGGGGAGGGTCAGCTACCCCTTATTACAGGCTCCCTCTTTTCTGTCCCCAGAAGGGGAGTGAGCCCCTGAGCATCTACAGTGTTCAGGGAAGAGGGAAAAGCTTTATGTATCTCATCCCATTTAGTTGTTCCAGCAACCCTACAAGGTTGGGGCTGTTATTACTCCCATTTCACAGATAAGGACAACTGAGGTTCAGAGCAGTGCTGTCCTGGGTGACATAAGCGACTTAGCAGCCCAAAGCTAAGGTTGAAATCCGGTCTGAGAACTCTGGATCCTTTCCAATGAGAACCACACTGCCTGCCACAGACCACCGTGTCTCCACAGGTACAAAGATGACATGCGAATCGATCTCCGCCTCTTCCCTGCGGGAAAGTACCGAATCACCAACAACTACGGGCTGCTGACGCTGGAGATTAGGAGGTGAGACTTTGAGCCCCAGCAAGACCCAGGACCCCCAGGGCAACACTACGGAGGCCAGAGCAGATTCCAACCCTTCCTCAGAGCTGCTAACCGAGTCAGCCTCATCTTCAGAAGTACCTGGGGTGCTTGTTACAGTCCTGGTTCATGGGATGGACCTCTTGCACCCAGAGAGTCAGAGGAAGCAGGTCTAGAGTGTGGGGCCCAAGAACCAGTATTTGACAGACACCCCCTTGTGATTCTGATGCCTTGGAATACACAGTGAGAAAGCTGGGCTAACTGCAAGGCCTGAGGCTGAGCTAGGCATGTTGGGAGAGCTCCTTGCTGGGAAAGAGAAAACACATGTATGTGCGTGCACACACACACACACACACACACACACACACACACTCATGCAGGGACGCAGTTGGAGGGGAGAGAGTTTGACAGGCTTTTTAGGGGACAGTGAGTCTTAAAAATGGTTTTGAACGAAGAGGCAGCATGCATGGATGGAGGCCAACTGGGAATGTGAGCACAACCCTTTGTAAATATGCATGACGGCGTTCATTTGAGCTGCCATGTGTGGAGTTCCTCCCTGTGCCAAGACCTGTGCTAGGTCTTCACCTGTGTGATTCGATAATGCCTGCCATCACTGTCACAGGGAAGCACTGTTCATCCATGTTACAGGGAACTGAGGCTCAGAAAGATGAAGGGGCTCGTACAGGTTACACAGGGTAGGGCCTGGGTTTGAGTTGGTTCTGTCCTTCTGGGGTCTTTCCAATGCACCAAACCCTCTGCCTCAACCCGCTTGGGCATCAATAGACACAAATATGAGCAGGACACTGATCCCACCCTCCAGAAGCAAAGTGGGGATCCAGGGACATTTAAATCCCTGCCCATATAGTTGCCCCATGCGTTGTGCAGTCAGGAAAGGCAGACAGGGCCAGGGGAGCCTGGAGGGGTGGGTGAGACCGGCGGTTGAAATGAGGATTCTTGCCCCGAGCTGGCCAGGGAAGACAGGGAGAACCAGGGCGCCTCTCTGCTGGCTGATGCGGCCAGATGTGCATCCTGCCAACTACTCTCTTTGTCCCCAAGGTGCCTGTGGGATGGAGCCAGCCCAAGCTTCCACTTGGAACAGGGTTGGCCTGGCTGGTGCTGAGACCCAGGCCTGAGAATGAGAACATCTGGGCATCTGGCCCAGTTCTGGCACAGACAGGCAGTATGCTCTGGGCAAGTCCTCTTGCCCTGCTCCTGCTCCAGGATTCTGATCTGGGGGTGTTGATAACACAGGAGGCTGTGCCTGGGATATGGCTTATCACCTGGAAGCTAGGTTGAATTCCAGTTGCTGCGTGACTCTGGACAAGTCACTTAACCTCTCTGATCCTACAAAGTCACTAATAACAAGATTTTCAAAGTACTTTCATCTTATGTCCCCAGTTTTTCAGAGAAGGACATGTGGCAGTGGCCAGCCCAAAGACACACAGCTTTTCAGAGGCGGTACCTGAACTAAAGCCTAAAGGCTCCCCAGAAGCCTTCCCATGAGTCCCTGCCTTTCCCATCCACAGATGGACTTGAGTTTCACACAGAGCCCAGAAGTCTTGGGGGCCACTCTCCCTCTCTCCTTTTCAGATGCACCATTGAGGACGCAGCCACCTACACGGTGATCGTGAAGAACGCCTATGGCCAGGCCTCCTCCTTTGCCAAAGTCCTTGTCCGCAGTAAGTCGACCCATCCCCACCAGGCCAGGCCAGCCAGAGGATGAGCAGACAACGACGTGGGCCTGCGGTCATGCTCGAGGAAGGGCACAGGGGTGTTTGGCCTGGGGTGAGGTGACCAGGGCAGCCCTGGGGACTCACTTCTCCGGGGCCTTCGGAGCAGCAAGAATCGCCTCCTAAAGGTGCACAACCTGTACAACTCTCCCCAAAGAGCGTGCTTGTCCCACTGGGCTGGGCTCAGGCCCAGATCCAGCTCAGCACCTCTGGGGGGCGGCCTGGCCCTGCCAGTCCTGCTGAGGGGTTCCAGGAGCAGAAGCTGAGCCCGACTAACTCTCCTCCCGGCTCCCACTGCCTCGTTTAGGTTCTGGTGCGTATTTCCTGACTGTGCTCAGGCCTCTCCTCCCCAGGGGCATCTGAAATCACAGCCTACAGCAGGGGAGGTGCTCAGGAGTTAGCCAGACCTGAGGCCACATGCTGGCTGTGCCCCTGACGTGCACTGCGAGCCTGGGCAAGCCACCCCACTTCTCCTCTAAGGGAAACTCCCACTACTGCCCTCAGATGTTCACGGCGATTAAATGAGATGGTGTAGGTAAAGCTTGGCACGTAGTAGGCTTTCGGGGAGGAAATCTCCCTCCCCCACCCCATGACCAGGGCAGAGCACAGCCCAGGAAGCCACACCTCTGGGCCAAGGAGAGTGCCATGCCTTCCCCTCAGGACCCCGAGAGAGAGAAGGTGTGCCCACACACACCCTCAGTGAGGGTGAGCCCAGCCCTCCTCCCCACCTCTCATCAGACCTTGTTAAACTGTCCTTCACAGTCCTCCCCACCCCTCTGCCCTGTTCCCCAAATAGCTCTTGAAAGCAGCTGTCCCCTCTGCCAGGCCAGGCTCTCTGCACAGAATCTGAGCCCTCCTTTTAGGTTGGGCCCAGAGTTAAGCCCAAGGTCAGGCATTGGGCCCTGCCTCCCTCCCTCTGCCCATCCTTCCTCCATCAAGGCCAGCAATTCTGGGATCCTCCAGGCTTCTTGGCCCCCCAGACTCTAGCCAGACTCCTCCCAGTAGCATCCACTCACCCCCATGACCACCCCTACCCTGCTGTCATCTCCACAGCAACTACAGTGGCCCTAGCGGAAGGCCCTGGGCTGGGAGGCAGGAGCTCTGGGTCCTATTCCCAAGTCTTCCAGTGACTGTGTGACCTTGGGCAGCCTCCTGGTCCTCTCTGGGCCCCACTCAGGAAGAGCCATTCCGGAAGCCAGTGTCATCTCATGGCCTCAGGCTGCCAGGGTGCTAGTTGGGTGATTATGCCTCTATTTCTTCATCTTTTTGAGAGGCTTATAATGGTACCAACAGACAGGGCTGCTGTAAGTTAATACATGACACGTGGTGTGCACCATGTGAACAAAAGCTGTTCTTATTCTCTGGTGGGCTGTGCCAACATCACCTTGGATTTCACCCTTAAGCCCCCAGATGGCTCTCCTGGCACTGCCCTGCTCCTGCCAGCTCTCTCTGGCTCCACCAAAAATCCCAGTCTGACCAGTCTGGCCTCTGTGAAGACTGATCCTGGCAGTGAGTTTGGGCTGAGGAAGGAAACCAGCATTTATGGAGCACCAACTATGTGTCACGCTCTGGCTGAGGGCCTTGCTCATGTGAACTCACTTGTTCAGACCCCCACTACCATCAGGTAGGAATCACTGTCCCAGTTTTACCAAGGAAGGAACTGAGGCCCAGAGAGGTGAGGGAATCTTCACCAGCCAAAGCAGGAGCCATTAACAGACCAGGATCCAAACACACTCCCCAGCCCATGCCTCCAAAATCCAGCGGGGACAGGGCTCTGAGCCTTCTCTGACTCTTTGCTCTGGGTTTTCAGCTTACCTGGGGAAGGATGCTGGCTTCGACTCAGAGATCTTTAAAAGTAAGGAGGCTGGGGGAGGGACGGGCTGTCGTAGGGACGTCATCTGGGACTCCTTGTCACCTCCCCCGCAGCCCCCTTTAGAATGTAGCCATCCATCGCCCACACGTGGGTGTCCATGTGGGTTTTATGAGCTGCTGCCACCTGCAGACTGGCTTTCCCAGATGCGCCAGGCACCCCAGAGCTGCCCCTCCTGCTGAGCCACCCAGTGGCTCAAACGGAGCAAGACAGGTAAAACCAAAAGGCAAATGGATGCGGCCTTGGATATGTGCTGTTTTGGCTTTCCTGCTCCCGCCTAGACAAACCTATTCCTCACCCCCGACCCCAGGACAAGGCCTCTCCTCCTTGTTAAGACCACCTTGGGAACTGTGTACCCCAAGCCAGAGGAGTGGGGAAGTCCCAGAAGGGTTCTTGCCCCCATCTCAGCCCCAGACTAGGCTGGTGGCCTCAGAAAACTTTTGCCTTTAATCTCTGTCCCCACCCCAGGATTGAAACTTGGCCCCAACGTGGAATTCACATCAGTGCTAAAGCCAACTTTTGCCCGTGAGAAGGAGCCCTTCTCCCTGTCCTGCTTATTCTCAGAAGATGTGTTAGATGCTGAGCAGAACATTCAGTGGTTCCGAGATGGTGAGGACCCCGAATCATGGTCCCCGGCTTCCAGAGGCAGAGGTGGAAGCCAGAGAGGCCTGGCTCCATCCCCAACCCTGGGTCCCCTTCGCGGAGAGAGAAGCTTAGGCATGCCCACCCTCCAGTACAAGCCGAGTTATGGGTGCTGAAGAGGCAGAAGAAAGCAGGAGCACAGCCAGCTGCATTCAGACCAGGTGACCCTACAAAGGGTCCTCAAGCACCCACGGGTGCCAGGCCCTGTGCTAGGTGCCAGGGCAGGGGGAGGCACAGTGCATGAACTCAGGGGGCTCTCCGTCTGCGAGGAAGGAAACCAAACCGCAGTCATAGCCACTGCCCTTCGAGAACCTGCTGTGATCAGGTACCAGCCCAGCCCTTTACATCCGTGGGGTCCTCATCAGCATCCTGAGGGGTGAGGGATGGCATTTGAAGCAGTGGGAAGAGAGGCCACGGCCAGAAGGTGGATGGCAGGAGGCGTATCAAGGAAGGCTGTGGCCGTTGCACAGGGCTTTTCAGAGTCGGAGTGTGGGTGCAGGTGAGTAATTGCTACTCATAAGCCAGATGACCTCCAGGGATGTCAGGGCTGGAGAAGGCTGGTCAGCCTAGGCAGGAGGAGGTGGCCCACCCAGGGAGGAGGAGGACAGCTGGATCTCCTGGCCCATCCAGGACCAGGCCTGCGGCCAGAGCACAAGGAGTTCAGCCCCGCCCCCAGCACCCCTGCTGTGGNGTGCCTCCAGGGCCTGCTGTACAGGCGGGGCACTGAAGCCCAGAGAAAGGGCAAGCGGAGTCTGAGGTCTGGTAAGGCAGAAGCTGGCCAGGAAGAGGTGTCTGGAATGTTCCTGACAGGTTGAGGTGGGGGGGACCTGACCTTGGCCCCCAAGCCTGGGAGAGTTGGAACCACTGGGCACCCGGATTAAGTGCCACCCTCCCCACAGGAGATCTAATTGAGCTCCTTTCAGAAGAGGGTGCAGCCAGGGGGCTGTGTGGTGGAAAGTGGGCACGGCTCTGTTTGGTTGCCATGGAGACAAACAAGGGTGTTGGGGAGCCAGGGCCAAGGAAGGGAATGCACTGAGGCTGGGGTGCCCTCTCACGGTCGAGGCCTCCTCTTCAACCTCAACTACCACTGGGGCAAACTGTGCATGGACACAGAGGCCCAGAGAGGGAGACTGACTTGGCCAAGGTCACGCAGCAGGCTGTGTCAAGAACTGAGGCCTCCTAACTTTAACAGACCCCTTAGGCCTTCAGACTTCCCTGATGGGCTGTGGACAGAGGCAGGCCACATCACTCTAGTGCTCGTGGCAGGGAGAATAAGACCCCAGAGTTCACCAAAAACAAACAGCAGTATCCAAGGTGCAGTGGGTGGGGCGACCCGCTGGGCCACCCTTGGGAATCACCCAGGAAGCTTTAAAAAAATACTGATTCTCAGGTCTTGTTCCCAGAAATTCCAGTTTCATTGATCTGGGATGCAGCCTAGGCAAGGAAATTTTTTTAGTGGCTTAAATTAAATCATTTATTTTTCTTTCATGTAAGTGCCTGATGTGACAGGGTGGCCCTGTTATAGTAACTGTACTCAGATTCCTCAGGGACTCAGGAATATTCTCCCTCACTGGAGGGCACAACCCTGGTCTTCCTGGTGCTGGAAGGCAGTCGTCAGGGCCATATCCTTGCTGCAGGATGGAGGGAAAGATGGCCCAGAAAAGGAGCAGAGTGTCATTGATGCAGCCGCATGGTACTTGTACTTATTTCTATTCACAAGATTTAGTCACATGGCCACACCTAGCAGAGAGGCTAGGAAATATGATACATATTGGATAGCTCAGCAATACATTCTGTTCCTTTAGAATAAGAGAAAGGCCATTGGGAAGCAATGAACAGTTCCTGGTGCAAATTCCCAAAGGCTTATGTTCAGAACCCAGGCGTGAAGATTTTTAAAGCCTCTCCAGGGATTCTGAGGAAAGCCGAGATGAAGAACTGCTGTCCTGAGGTGTTGGCAAGGGAAATAGGAACGGGGACACCCTCCTTGGCAACCCTGCTCAGAGAGGAGGGAAAAGCTGGGGTTGGGTCCCTGGTGGTAGCCCAGGTGTGGGGAGGGTCAGCTACCCCTTATTACAGGCTCCCTCTTTTCTGTCCCCAGAAGGGGAGTGAGCCCCTGAGCATCTAC